AAAAAAAAAAATTAAAGCCTGCACTATCACTTGTTCACAACGAGCAAATGCTCGCGAGACATGAGCAAGTTCTTCGGAGAGACACGAAGTTTTATTCATACGTGGAACTTCTGCTCAGTGCCGCGGGGCAGGCCCGCTTTACGCTCAGGAGCAAGTACTCCCGAGCAAGTGCTGATTTTTATTCATATGGGTCAATGCCCAGTGGCGAGGTCTCGCGGCTCGGAGTCGCAGGGAGCGTGTGCGCTGTGCTGCGCAGGATGTCCGGCGAGGCGAAGCTGCACGCGTACGTGGGCGTGTGGGGGCGCGCGCGGGAGGCGTGGCTGGCACTGCGCGGGCGCTGCGCGCGGTGGGCGCAGAGTGCGCAGTGGGCGGAGTGGGGCCCGCGCCTGCAGCGCCTGGGCCTGCGCCACCCGGCCAACGCCGACGACGCTTCTTGCACATCTACAGGTGAGGCGGCGGGGGACGGTGGGAACAAAGAGGGAAGGGCTAGAGGTGGGGAGACGAGAGCGGTGGGAGGACGAGAGGGTGGAGGCGAGCGAGGGGGGAGGAGCGAGGAGGGAGGGAGTGGGGAGGGAGGGACGAGGGGGAAGGGGAGGGACGAGGGGAGGAGCGAGGGACGAGGGGGAGGGGAGGGAGGGCGGGGAGGGGACGGGGGGGGAGGAGAGGGGGGAAGGAGGGGAGGGGATGACGGACGGACGGACGAACGGACGGACGGAGGACGGACGAGACGGACGGACGGACGGGGACGGACGGCAGGATGGGGAGAGAGAGCATGGCGGGCGTGCGCAAGCGAAAGTGCGTGGGAGCTGAGGCACCATTCGGGCCCGCGTCATGGGGGGTGGGTTGGTTGGTGGGCAAGGGTGGGAGGGAGGGAGGACAGAGGTTTGCAGGCGAGGGGGCGTGGCTGGTGCCCAGGCGCAAGACGGCGTGGGAGCTGGGCCGGCTGTCGGCCGCCGTGATGGGGCTGGAGTTCTCGTACGCCGCCGAGACGGCCTTCGTGTCGCCGCTGCTGCTGCAGCTGCGCGTGGAGCGGCGCGTGATGACGCTGGCGTGGGCGCTGTCGCCGCTCGTCGGCTTCTTCCTCACGCCGGTGCTGGGCTCCCTGAGCGACCGCTGCCGCTCGCCCTTCGGCCGGCGCCGGCCCTTCCTCGTGCTGCTCTCCGCCGGCGTCCTGATCGGTGAGCTGGATTTGCATGAGCCGCGACTGCTTTATTCCGATGGGTGGCGGTGTTCCTCCCTCCAAAGGATAATGAGATTCTGCTCTTAATATCTAATGGAATGTGAGCGATTTACCCTCCCAGTCACCTTCTTCCAGCTAGGAACCACCCCTGCCGTGACTATCACTCAGCTAATGTCTGGTCTCCCGCCATTTGGGGTGTGTACTGCGTGTTAGTGGTATATGTAAGGGGAAGAGATACAAGGAGTAGGACGAAAAGGTAGCGCACGGCCTGTAGATCGTTTGTTAATCAAATTGTGTATCAAATGTTTGCTTTGCATTTGAGAAATTTGGAAAAATGTAAATCATATCAATTAGCCGCTTGATTTCTGACCTTGATTTCTGACCTTGATTTCTGACCTTGATTTCTGACCTTGATTTCTGACCTTGATGTCCCCTATTTTTTGACCTTGATGTCCCCTATTTTTAAACTTTTTCTGTGAAGAGAATAAGAAAAATATAAAACGCATGTTTTTTTAAAATTTTTGCTCAAATATCGTTTTTTAAGATAATATTGATTTTCTAATTTTTTGATAAAATGCTCGCATCGCTAAAGTTAATTAGTTTTAACTCGTGTTGTAATTATAACAAAAATTTAATATTTTGCGACTTTAAAAAACAAAAGATGCTATTTCATTTGGTATATGCTTCCTTGGAATAATTGACAACCAGTTGAGACTGCGCAGTGACAATAATATAATGACAGCATTGCCGCTGCACCGTTTTATTATTATTACTATTATTATTATTATTATTATTATTTATTATTTAAATATTTTTTGACGGTCTGCACCCTTTCAATACCGACTCTACTCATATAGGGAAAGGATGTATTTTGTCTTACAAAAACGTTTTATGCCCTAATCTTCTGAAGTTTCCGCGTTCCTGCAATCCCCCTCGTTTTTCAAAATATGGTCACTATCAAAGGATGTATAATTTGTGGGAATACTTTCGAACCGTTTGGAAAAGTTCCCTTGCCCGATGAAGCCTGAGAATATGAGTCTCTCTTTTGAGTAGAATATTACAAACTATTTAGTTTCTTGTTATCTTTTTTTACATCTCTTCGGATTTGGGGCCAAAGCTTTGTAATCTGAGAACCGTAGTTCGAATTGGCATTTTTTTGGAAAATTTTATTTTCTTAAAATGCCTTTCTAGAGTACAGCGAAGTGCACATCAATATATAGTGTAATTCCGTTTTTAATATTAAACCTGGTGGTAGGTAGGATTTACGAATTCCGAAACTAGCAAATCTGAATATCCCGCGCTTCTGATGGGTGTTTGACGAGTTTGCTGAAGATTTAGTAGTCTACAATTACTCGCACATATCCATTACGGAGAAAATGAGAAAGTAAGTGGAGTTGGCATCATTGCTTTTCGGGTTCTTGATTACGTTCAGACCAATGGTAAGAGCAGTCATTCCATTGTTTCGGAACTTGCAATCGAGCATGTGTCGGTGGGAAGGAATATCAGGCTGCCATGACATTCTTCGTTATACAAGGACCTCCGTCAAATATCTCGACAACTTCAGACCTGCGGAGTGAGCTCAGATGCAGCGCTATCGTTCTGTCCGCAGCGACTCCGAACGGGAGACCAAAGCCCCACGGTAGACACATTTGGATCCTAGCTAGGCGTCTGGGGTCACTTCAGCCGCTTTGTGGAGAATTCTAGCAACCAGCTGCTCTGATCGGTGGTATCTCCATGGTTTCTCCAATCAGTGCGAGGCGAATGCTGGAGTAATACTTAATGGAACGGATCACGAATCGCTTGCTATCTTTCCTTCCCCTTCCTCGTCCTATCCTCCGTCCTTACACGCATACATGCACTATACTACCGAACAGGCTCACGGTTGTCCAAGCGATCACGGGTTGTCCAAGTAGGTGCCTGCTGGCGGAGATACTTGGAGGGGAATAAACTCGCAAGGCGCCTTGTGGGTCCGCGCCAGATCTGTTCCGGCGGGAGGAACACCGCCACCTCCCCCTCCCGGGGTGCAGCGTGCAGACACCGCGCGCATGCTCTGGGATGCCCGGGGGACGCCGCGTCGAAGGCTGGGACCATCTTGTCGTGGCCGTTCTGCCCACGAGAAAACGGTCGATATGCGAAAGCCTTCGACAGCGCGTCCGCCGGGCAGTGGAAGACGAGGGCGCGTGGGATGTCCGTAAAGTTAGCATACCCACTTATCACAATATTGAAAAACTGTGTCCCAGAATTTTGTTCTAATTAAAGACTAATTTATACCCAAATTTAAAAATGTTCTACTAATGCACAACACCGAAATATTCAACACTAAATGTGGGTACGCTAACTTAACGTGAAGTTAGCATACCCACACAAGAAAAACGCAAGAAACATAAAAACTAAATGTACCAGACGTTTGCCCGAATTAAAGACTAATTTATACCCAAATTCAAAAATTTTGAAAATTTCTGCAACATCGAAATATTTAACACTAAATGTGGGTACGCTATCTTAACGTTAATTTAGCGTACCCACATTTAGTTATGAATATTTCGATGTTGTGCATTAGTAGAAAATTTTTAAATTTGGGTATAAATTAGTCTTTAATTAGAACAAAATTCTGGGACACAGTTTTTCAGTATTGTGATAAGTGGGTGTGCTAACTTCACGGCCATGCGCGTGTGCGCGTGCGCAGGGCTGCTGCTGGTGCCGAACGGCGCGGCGCTGGGCGCGTGGCTGGGCGACGCGCGGCGCTGGGGCGCGCTGCTCACCGTGGCCGGCACGGTGCTGCTCGACTTCGACGCCGACGCCTGCCAGAGCCCCGCGCGCGCCTACCTCCTCGACGTCACGCTCGCAGGTGCGCTCCTCCCGACTCCCCGCTGCGGGATCGACTGCTCAGGCGATAGAGAGCTGCAAGTACCCGATGTCTGAACGCGTAGTTTATAGTTTTGTGTATGTCATCTATTATATTATATTTGAAACGTGTTATATTACGTCCCTTTTCCGGAATCAGTCTCAGCAAATAACGTAGTATCATTTGATAGCTGTATGTGCTTCCCAGCACGTGTAGTTTATATTTAGTCTGTTATGTAAACATTAATAAATAAAAAGAACTAGTTTTCGAAGTATCAACATCAGGCACAACTTGCCGGTAAAGTGGGTAGTATTTGGGTCAGGCAAGTCAGCAAAAGGAGAGGACGGTAGCAAGAAGCAGAATGATTATGTGCAGTTCGGAGTTAAGGCAGGGTAGGCAAGGGCAGAGCAGGGCTGAGTCCAGGCAATGCACAGCAAAGCAGAGCACCCACCCAGCCCAGGCTAGGGAGAGCATACACTGTTAACAGAATGTATATTCCTTTTCCTGATTAAATGGTTGAATACAGTAAATATCCAGACAAGTAAAATGATTCGGCTTTAAACGCGCCGTGCAATTTAATGGCACGGGTATCTACTAGTAGTATGTAATACTAGTTTTTAATATTAAGCTTTATTGCATTAGTAAATGTTTTGAAATCGAGTAACGTTAGATGGGGTTTGATTAGAGTTGCCAAATGCTTCTTACAAACATCCAGCGTTAGGTGGCAGTAAATCCTCCCAATAAGAAAAACTATTCGAACGAGAAAATTGAATTTGCATTTAAAAAAACCTATACAAATAGTATTTTTGAGGTGTTAACCCTATGAAATGCTTAATTTCCATTTTCCCCCCTTTGTGAACATTTTAAGTAATGGATGTAAAAAAGTATACTTTTTGTAACAATAAGTTATATATAAATAAGTTAATATATAAACATTAGTTATTACCATTCTCATGACTAGAGCAGATGGGAGGAATACTTTAAGGGATAAAATAATTTCCCCACTTTGCCATTTTCACTCTCCTTATATATATATATATATATATATATATATATATATATATATATATATATATATATATATAATATGAGTGGTTTACATCTGGCGATGTTTCTCAGTTCTTCTTTTCCAGTCTTCTCTGTCCATTACATCTCTATCTATCAGATTTCTAGTTGCCATCGCAGTCAGTACTCCTTGTTTTCATGGGGTTGATGGTCTGCCCCGTCGTCTTCTGTAGGGAGGTATGCCTTTATATACTTGTTTGGGCCACCTCAATTCTGGCATTCTCAGCAGATGTCCGTACCACTGAAGTTGTTTTCGTTCTACAGTATCTATTATATCCTTTTGAATTTCCATTTTCTCTTTTATTTCTTCATTGCGTATGTGGTGTAAACGAGCTGTTCTGGAACTTCGTCTCAAAAAGTCCACATAAATCGTCAATAATCTCTTTTTGTTTTTTAGGATTAGATCCCAAACGTCCGAGCCATATGTGACAATACTTTCTATTAATAAACTGTATATATTTGTCTTTGATAACTGGAAATTCTACAGAATTGGATTTAGCATATTAATGACTCGTTTCCCTTGATTTATCTTATTGTTTTATCATTATTACTTGTGCTCTCTTTTGAAACTGTGAAGCCCAAATATTTAAAATTATCACTTAATTGTATTTTATCATTTCCAATGTGCAGATCATTTCCATATTCTCCTGTTACCATACACTTCGCTTTGGACACAATTATTTGCAATCCCCATATTTCTAATTCCTGTTTAACTTTTCTAAACTAATAGTTAATATCCAGCTCATCCTCAGCCATAATGACGAGATCATCTGCGAAAAGTAGATGTTTTAGTGTTGATTCTCCAATTTGCATTCCCATCACACTGCATTTCCTCCTTCATTCTCTCAGAGCTTCGGCAATGAACACGTTAAAAAGAGTTGGGAACATACAGCACTCCTGTCTCAATCCTTTAGAAATTATTATATCTGACACTTGTCCGTTTACTTTCACAACACCTTTACTGTTTTTCTATATATTCTTAGTGGTGTCAACTAATTTAAAATTACATTTTTGTTCTAAAATTTTAAAGTCTGCTAATGGGAATACTGCCATATGCTTTTTGGAGGTCAACAAACAATAAATGAGAATCTCTTCCACAGGCTTTCCTTTTTTCTAAAATTTGTTGGATGCAGAAAATGATATCTATACATAAACGGCCAGCCATACTCTTTCCGTGCTCTCCTTCCTCCTCTTAAATATTCGCGCTTAAAAATATTTCCACAGAAATGCCTACATCATTACTGGATGGATATATGTGTGAGATGAGAACCCTTTGAGCTGAGACTTGTGTGCTGTTGCAGAGGACCATGCTCGGGGCCTGGCCGCCTTCACGGTGATGGCAGGGCTGGGCGGCTGCATGGGCTACGCGCTGGGCGCCGTCGACTGGGACTCCACCGCCATTGGTGAGCTACGCTCCGCCCCATCCCATCTCCCCCCACCCACCTCTCCCACGACGGGCTACCGGCTCAGGTGACTCAGGGCACTCAGGTGACTCACTGCAGTGCATCTGCCCGTGAAAACCTAGGTTTCAACGATGACCGTAAAGTTAGCACACTTATCACAAAATTGAAAAACAGTATCCCAGAATTTTGTTCTAATTTTGAACTAATTTATATGCACAACATCAAAATATTCTACACTAAAGGTGGGTACGCTAACTTAACGTTAAGTTGGCATACCCACACAAGAAAAACGCATGAAACTAAAAAACAGAACGCCCTCTCCCCATGGGGGCAGAATTTTTTGACACTACTGGATAAGTGATTGGAATTGTGCCACTGTCAGGAGGAAAATTTTAGCGTACACGTGCTCTGATCGGTAAGTTTCTATAGTTTCTCCGATTATCTCCAGGTGAATGCCGTTGCAGTACCTTAACAAACGGGCGCGCGCGATCTTTCCTTCCTTTTGCTTGTACTATCCTCACCATTTAGTTACTAACTCATTTCCATGTACTACACTGTAATACCAGTCGGGAGACCAGTCGGGAGACCAGTCGGGAGACCAGTCGGGAGACCAGTCGGGAGACCAGTCGGGAGCTTCCAGCTTGCCCCCGCTGGGGCGGTGCCCCGCTGGCGGGAGATTACTGTAAACCTCGCAAGCCGACGTGTGGGTCGGTGGGAAGGTCACATGACTAACCCCACGCCCCCTCACCCCGACCCCATGAGCTGAGCCGCCTCTGTCGTGTGTTGCACGCGCAGCTTTGCAGCGCAGTTTAATGTGACCGCGGTGTGCAAACCGCCACACTTTCCCTGCTGTGTAGCTATTCCTATCCTTTCGGACATCTATGGCTGATCAGTAAAATAGAAAAAAGGACAAGGTCGGGAAAGACAATAGCAGTTCGGCGCGCTTTTGACGTTGTTTACGGCAATTTTCATGCAAGTTTTGGCGTTTCGCCTACAGCAGCATTTCTCTCGGGCGCTTGTACGTGGCCGTGGGATCCGGCTCGTACGAAGATAAATTTTTCATAATGTCATTGTTTGAAGCGTTAATTTTGGAGAAGAAAATACTAACTGAATTTTTAAAGTGATCTTCGAGGAGCGGTAGCTTTAATGTAGAGTGTAATTCTGAGACTAATATAAATTGGCGCGCACAGTATGCATTTTTAACTATTTGCAACTTATTAAAGTGCGCGCCCGCCGCTATTCACCAACTTGGGCAGGCATAGTCCATAATGGGCCTAATCATGGATTTATACATCAGCAGGGCATTCGCTGTGGACAGTTTGCTTCGCTCATGTAATAAGCTTCGCAACATGCCCAGGCGTTGCCAAGCTTTGCTCGAAACCGCGTCCGCGTGCTCGCGGAAAGTTAAAGCGCGGTCGAGCGTGATGCCGAGGTACTTTGTGTTGTCGCGCCATTCAATATTTGAATTGCATAGCGCGAGCGGCCGCGGCTGGTCGTATTTGTATCTACGTGTGAAGAAAACCGCCGTGCTCTATTCCACGTTGACTTTGACACACCAGCGCTACAGCCAGTCGTGGATCTGTAACAAATGTTGGTCCAAATATTTAACGAGCAGGTCGATTCATTTGGACGTGGCAAGTACTGCCGTGTCGTCTACGTACATGGCGCGCTCGGTCTGGGTCGAGGTTGGCATATCACGCACGTACAGGCAGTGGAGCACTGGGGAGATGATGCTCCCCCGAGGCCTGCCCGCCCGTGTGCGGCGAGAGGTGGAGTTAGCAAGCAGAACCGCCGCTTGAAACGCTGTGTTCGCGAGGAAGGGGTGACAGGTGTGCGCCGCAGTGAGGGGCCGTTGGCTGAGAGTTCTGTGTTTCGCCGCGCAGGGCGCGCGCTGGGCGGGCACGTGCGCGCCGTCTTCTCGCTGGTGGCGCTGGTGCTGGTGGTGTGCGTGGCGGCCACCGTCAGCAGCTTCCGCGAGGTGCCGCTGCCGCTGCTGCGCGCGCAGGAGGCGCGGGAGGCGCAGGCGGCGCGCGCGGCGCGGGCGCGCGACGAGTACGCGCAGCTGGGCGGCGTCGACTGCGCGGGCGCCCACGCGCAGCAGGAGACATCTTTCTGCGAGCGGCCGCCGGGCGCGGTGAGTGCCCTCGCGTTCCGCTCCAGCGCTGGCAACGCCCGTTCGCAATGCAAACCTAAACATAAGCATAGCGCATAGACATGAACCTGAACATAAGTGATAGACTCAAGCATTCACAAGGTCTAACATAAACGTGAGCATAGCGCATAGACATGAACCTGAACATAAGTAGTAGACTGAAGTATTGACAAGGTCTAACATAAACGTAAGCACAATTAGAGTTTCTATTGGCAATGAGACATTCTAGTCATATTGGTTGGGTGTGAGAATCGATTTCGAAGTATCGACTTTGTCCATGGCCCATATGGCATTAGTTCATCTATCGACTCCAATTTCGATTTTCGATTTTGAGTTACAGTACTGTGATTTCTTATGTCTTCCTTAAGCATAAGCACAGAAGCTTGAAGCTTGCAAGCTTTAAAGTTAACGTCTTAGGTGTTATGTTTAAGCGAACGCATTGTGAATGAGTCCGCTTATGCACCTAGTCCTAACTTTTATGTTAACGCCATGCTTATGTTTATGTTTGCATTGTGAACAGGCCTTTATTTATCTCACCGTAAAAACCGCTATCTTTACGATTTACTCATGGGTCTCTGTGGTCTTAATTTAAATACGGCCAAATAAATCTAAATAAATTAATCAAACCATTGCAATGCCTGCGTATAGAATCGCGCACTCCCAAAAGTGAGCTTCCGAGGGCACCTCTTACATTTGATTCTATTGATGTTTCTAACGATTTTAATAAATGGATACAACTAAAAATAATATCTACGTTCATTTAAATAAAAAACATGATATGGTTCCTAACGTTATATAAAAATATATATTAAAAATTATGTTTTCTTGTATCGATATTTTTTTTAATTCTTACCAGATGTTAATATTTTTCAAAAGACATATCTTTGTGGCGGTGCTCGAGTGGCTGCGCATGACACCCCGAAGTTTCTTCCAGGACAGAGCAAAGTAGTTTCTCAAGAGATTACTCAACATTAATAGTTGAGGGAGTTCGTGCCAAGAAATTATTTTACTCAAGTCTTTCTTCCACAATAAAATAATCTTTTAAAGAATTGCCTTCACTTCTCGACTTATCTTCGTACAAATATCATATTCCTTACCTATGGCAATATATAAATATCGTGTACATATACAAATATACTCGACTCTCGCTAATCCGGGAATTCCTTAATGATTTGGATGCCGGATTAGCTGAAGTGCCTGAGGATTGAGATGGTTTAAAATTGAAACACAGGGACTATACAGTAATTTATTAAATCTAAAGATACTGTACATTAATTTATATAGAAAATTTGTTCCTCGTCAAACATTGTACTCGGCAGCAATGGCTTTGTGTGAAGAACCTCGGTTCAACTGGTTCAACGGTTCAATCTAAATTCTCGAGATTCTGTTTGAGGTCTAGCGTTACGCGATGCCTTTTAGAACTCCTAGTACTGAACTGTATGGAAAGGAAGCAACAATTTGAAATATGTAGAGCCTTTTTGAACATTTGTAAGAAACAACAAAGTATGTGAAAGATAATTTTTTGTTGCGCGTCATCTTTGCATGAGCGACTGGAGGCCGAGAATGGACCAAACTACTGAGAGGCGGATTAGCGATAGTATAGAGTAGTTCTTGAATATAAAGAACAAGCCAAGACCGTGCGATAACTCTTACATGTAGAGCACCACCGTCTTCCCTATCCTTCCATTTTCATAGTAAACCTCTCATATATATTTTTCTTAAAGACTCTCTTTTCCTCCGTCTCTAATATTCTATGTCTCCTTATAACAGTACTAACTGAACGTATTTTAACAAAACAGTACAATACACCCTTGTCAATACAAATTATTCTTATTTAACTGGATTTCAATTGAATCGATGCGTACAGCCGTACGATTCAATTGCATAGAATATGAATAAATTAGCTTAATTTTAAATGCAGTTGCAGATTTTGCACGCCTCTGAAACAGTGGGGTTAAATCGAGAAGCGTCGAACCAGCAAAAATGTAATAGAAATTTCAAGATGATTTTATCCTGTTGATTACTGTGTGGAAAAAATTACTTTGTCTCTGGCCTCATAATCCCGGAATTTAAAATAATCATTTCTAACACATCGTTTTGGAGTTATATAACAACATAGATTTCAACAACGCTGCCCGAGTGTTGCGGGTTCCATTTGCAATTTATATTTACAGCAGTTTTTTTAACAAATCTTTCATATTTTTTGAGTTAAAGTGCAATTCATAAAATCTACGCGAAATTCTCTTTCTTTAGAGGCCGTATTTACGAAGATTGGTTTCTTATAGGACTGTCACACCGTGAGAGCCGCCAAACCCGGTAGATGACGCAGGGCGCGTGCGAGATGCGAGCGCGAAGACGCTACCTATCGGCGATTCCCTGACTTGACAATACAGCGGCCCCTAGAGGGCGCTTATTAACGGAGGATTACTCCAGTGCGCTCTACGCTCGTTACGGAGTTAGGAACCGCGTTGTGTCGATATAGACGTAACCAATTAAGAAGAAAAACAACGATACTACTGAAATAATGTCCTCGTAAGATAGGAGAAGGACACCATCTCCTATCTTACGAATATATTATTTCATTAAGGTATCCGCCATCGCTGTTCTTCCCGCATGGATGCCCCGTCTGCGAATGCACGTCGTTGCGTTGGGCTGTTCAGGTGGAGGTGACGGCGGAGACGGGGGCGGAGGCGGAGGCGAAGGTGGAGGTGGAGGTGCAGGCGGAGGCGGAGGCGGAGGCTGAGGCGGAGGCGGAGGAGGAAGGGCCGTCCCTGCGCGAGTACCTGCTGTCCATCGTGTTCATGCCGGCCGCCCTGCGCGTGCTGTGCATCACCAACCTCTTCTCCTGGATGGCGCACGTCTGCTACTCGCTCTACTTCACCGACTACGTGGGCGAGGCGGTCTTCGAGGGGGACCCCAAGGTGAGCCGCGTGAACGCCACGCATAAATAGCATTTCGGCCTCAGAAACAATGTGGTTTCTGCGATCAGCACGAGGCGATAGCCGTAGAAGTTTGTGCAGGGAGTTCAACGAAAATGAGACTTGCGCCATTCTTTCAAGCTTACCTTGTCTTATCTGTGAAAACAATTTAAAGAGAAATTGAAGCGTCTACTCTTTTTTTTCAAGAGTTGCACGTGACATTTTTTAAAAGTGCTGATTTTTTACATTCTTGCATACTACATACAGAAAGTTGTGTAAATGCTGCAGAAAAAAGGCAATTTTCCAGCAGTAGATCCTTGGCAACAAAAAAGTGAATAATTGTTCCTATATGTAGTAAATTACATGCACTAACACATTGTGTTGTCAGAATCCAGGTTTTGGGAGTCCTTGATACCTTGGTTTACACCAAAATGTTCTTCCGTATACATCTTCCTTCCTTTAACATGATTTCTGAAACCGAAAGGAAAAACCAGATGAAAAATAAAATTAAAGAAAGCTATAAAGAAACATGTTCCGCTTTAATTTTTCCATAATTATAAAACATATCGTTCAACCGTTATTAATTCGATAGTGCGAGTAATTTGTCGACTAGAATGTCAAATTTTATTCCTCCATTGCAAATTTTTAAATTATCACAAGAATCAGTAAATGTATAGAATTCCATTTACCTCTTTTGGAGGTTCTTTCTACTGGTATTTGTTTCTGAAACAACCACAATGTACTCTTTACACTTATCGCAGGAATCATCATTTATTTTTGACGTCCGATGACAAAATGGACGAGTCTTTCTTTAGTTTCATTGATTTTTATTGAATTTTGAGAACTGAAATTTGTAGTTGGCTGTATCCTTCGACATATACACATTGAGGCCTTCTAAGTGCAGTGCTTCTAACCGTCTTTTCTTGAAGCGAAGGAAAGGGTAGTGACGCGAATTAAAAACGCCAACGACACGATGTATTCGCCATAGCGGGCGATTAAAGTGTGTATCTCAGAAAATTGAATGTATAAAATTTAAAAGTTTGTGTCATATGTATGTGTATGTGCCTTCTTTTCTTCACGCATCCGCTAGTTTACAATAGAGAGAAATATCAGAAATGAAATTTGCTCCTCTTCGCCACGCCGCTCCCTACCTTCCACTGGGCTGGGCCTTGCGCAGGCCGAGGAGGGGACGGCGGCGCGGGACAAGTTCGACGCCGGGGTGCGATTCGGCTGCTGGGGCATGTCCCTGTACTCCCTCTCCTGCGCCTGCTACTCGCTCGTCATCGAAAGACTCATCCAGCGCTTCAGGTACGATTGCTTTCGTTACGTTTCATGCAGATCGTGACAGTGGTGGTCCTTTTTGATGTAGCGGTAGTGGCGGGACTGTAGTGGCGTGGCTGGAGTGGGGCGTGGCTGGAGTGGGGCGTGGCTGGAGTGGGGAGTGGCTGGAGTGGGGCGTGGCTGGAGTGGGGCGTGGCTGGAGTGGGGCGTGTGGCTGGAGTGGGGCGTGTGGCTGGAGTGGGGCGTGTGGCTGGAGTGGGGCGTGTGGCTGGCTGCAGTGAGCACTTGTGTTGTGTGTCGCAGGGCGCGGCGCGTGTACGTGGGGGGGCTGCTGGTGTTCGCCACGGGGATGCTGCTGATGGCCGCGTGCAGACACCGCGTGGCCGTCATCCTCTTCTCGTGCACCGCCGGCGTCATGTACTCCACCCTCTTCACGATGCCCTACCTGCTGGTGGCGCACTACCACTCGGAGCACACGGTTGGCCACTTCTGAACCCCCTTATTCACTTTGTGTATTGCATGGAAATTTAGTCCACATGATTGTTTCTTTGTTCGGATTGTGTTCTCTTCTTGGTTTACGCATTTGATTTTATCCCATTTCTTCGCTATTTTTGTTCGCTTTGTGTACGAATGTTAGTATATGCAATTGATTATACCCCGATTATTCTTTTATTTGTTGGCAATATGTGCTAATGTTAATGACGTGCATTTGATTTTAACTCCGTCGCTTATTGGTTGCCATTACGTACTAATATTGGTGTGGTGCATTTCAATTTGGTGCACTTCTTCGCTTATTTGTTCTGTACTAATAACCCAGTTGTAGGACATGGTTTTAGTTGAAAAATTTAAGTGTGTTTCATTACATTCTCATCCGATTATATCCATTTAAATGCCATTAAATTGGCGTGAAAATGTATTTTCCTATTTGTTTTATGTTTTAGATATGTATTTCTATTGATTTATGAAAATATCATATTTTCGCAAAGAATAACCTGGCCCCGACTCGGTGCTTGTAACATTGTTGAGAGTGAATGGACGCAATGATGCAGCGCTGTTGCAGCTGGAGGGCCCCGAGTCATGGTCGCGAGGGTTGGGCACAGACGAGAGGTTCAAGGTGTTGGTGGCGCGCTGTTGCAGCTGGAGGGCGCGGAAACGCAGGGCTATAGTGTTATGAGTTAACAAGAAAATTAGTGGAATTGATCAGTTGGGATAAGTACGCAGAAATTTTCAGATAACAATAATTTATTTTCAGAAAAATAACACTGAAATTTCTCTGCTACCTTTAGTACTTCTTAAATGAATAAACAAATATCTTCTGAAGTGTTCTTTGGAGTAACTACCAGTATAGATAATTAGAACAATAACGATTAGCAATATAAGGGAAGGTGCCTGAACTCTAATACATAATGGCCGAAAAATGATAAATTTAATTAAGGAAAATTGATGAACCAGTTACCACCTACAAGGCATGTAGCCTTAATAACAAAGGAGAGGCGACTTGCCGCTGGAGCTGGGCACGGAGGTGGTGTCCAAGGTGTTTATGGCGCGCTGTTGCAGCTGGAGGGCCCGGGCGCGGGGCCGCGGGGGCTGGGCACGGACGTGGCCGCCGTGGGGTCGATGGTGTTCGTGGCGCAGCTTCTGCTGTCGTGCGCGCTGGGCAGCGTGGTGGCGGCGGCCGGGAGCACGACGGCGGTGGTGGCGGCGGCGGCGGTGCTGGCGCTGTGCGGGGCGATCGCCGCCTCGCGGGTGCTCTACCTCGACCTCTGACCTCTCAGCACAACTGCCCTCCTCCAGATACTGTGCTTCACTGCACGGTGTCCTTTCACTTAATTGTCGTGGACTTATGTAAAAAATCTCAGAGTAAAAAGGAATATCTTTAATGTTTTTATTTTTCGTAAAATGTGTGTTTTTTTCTTCTCTTAATGAAATACATTTTTCCCCATAGGAATATGAAAACAAAAAAGAATAAAGAAATATCAATTCATGTTGGAAACCAAGAAAGTTCCTTCGAATATTAATTCCTGAGTGCCCATAAGTCGATTTAGGTGAAAACAACATCAGAGCAATAGCACATCTGTCATTTTTTACTTTCAAAAATTCGTTTGTGTTTTTTCGTCTCTTAATTAAATACAATGTTTTGAAACAGGGATTTGAGTACAAAAAACAATAAATTAATAAGGAACCATGTTTTAAAATAAGAATGTTCCTTCAAAGATCACTTCTCATAAGTTGCTCTGCGTCGAACATTTTCGCGTGCTTCAATCTGTTGCCCATCTGCTGTCCATATGCAGTGATTGTCAAATAGTCCACGTCATGTCGCAGAATAATCGCCCGTGTTTTATCATCTTGATGTACTCCATTTAAATCCCTTTCAGCAAAATGTCAGCAGTATATCTCGCAAACCTTTCCATGAGTGTTTCCATGTTTTACACCCAAAAACTTCAATTCAGAACTGAACCTTATGCATAGTAGACCTGACATCCTCTTTACTATTAAATTTGTCTTGCTTAAGAGCCCCAAAATAAAGCACAGCAATTCCTAATGATTGACTGTGACTAAGTACCTGACTGAACAGCGCTCAAAAAAAATTACCCTTAGGCCTGTGTCACACGAGCGTTGCGTTGTCGCGCGTCAAGTAACGGGCGACATAGATTACTACTGTGTCTTATGCAGAACGGCCAAAGCGCTCATGTGCAGTTTTGCATAAGATATGTTATTCTATAATGTGTGTTACTTAACGTGCGTCATCGCGACGTTCTTATAACTTACGCCTTTATTGTCAAAGACCCTCGCCCAGTTTGGGACACAAGGGTTGCATGACAAGCGCAAAAAATACAAATGTGCGTATTTCAAATTGAAGTATTAAACACCCAACTCGCATGCCGACAAGTTTTAGTGTATCAATATCAAATATTAATGACAGTTGAGGAGATACTAATGAAATCCACGTATGTCCGCCTTAAACGTTTTGCGGGAATTTGCGAAATAAGTGTTCCTTAATAACCTGTTATTGAAGTTTCGTTATGAATATTAATATAAGTTCATTGAACTATATTAACATATTTAATATGATCATTTCAAATCTAATGAGAAAAACTCGTAATTACGACTTTAAAAAGGGGCATGTTCTTATTTGCTTGGATTTAATGGGCATTGTCATCTTTTGATTGAACGTGAAATGGACATGTTTGGTTTTGTTTGATTCAAAGAAAACAACTTAATGTTTGCCAATTATTTGTTGTTAAAATAATGCAATAAAATGACTTTCAATGCATGGAAACAATTTTAAATATACAGTCCGACATCACGTTCCAAACAGTCGTATTCATTAGATCGCCCTTATTCTTATTTTTATTTTTCTTCTACTCCTACTTCTTCTTATTCGTGATTTGTGATCACATGTACCTTCGTGCAAAATGGTCTTTTACCAGGATATTCATTATTCCCAGTCGTCCCCATACATAGCAACTAGCAACGATTCAGTATCCTTCTTCCCTGCTTTTACTGCATATCAAAGTGGTAGTGGTAGTACAGGAATTGAGAAAGATTTTTCAGATGGTCAGTCCTTTTCTGAAGACTTTTGCATGTTTGAAAGTCACTTTAAGATCCTAAATGTGCTGCTCTAACGTTTATAATCATTTAATTATTGCAATTGTTGTTACCCCTTCTCTTCCTTAAATTCGATTTTCTCAGAGATCATCTCAATGGTTTTGGGATAAACTTTTAGCATCAGTCAGTGACCAATTTTCATCTAGCTTACGTACTTCACCAGGAGTCTCGTACCAACCATAGATCTCTTCGTTCGTTGCTATGGTGGGGTGTTTTCCAAGCAACTTCTCCACTCTAACAAAAACGCTATCAGCTGGAAGAAAACTACAGGATGCGCCAGAGAAACTTACTTATTTGAAAAAATTCCCGCGCGGTGAGTTGGGTGGGTTAGAGGGGCGAGAGGGGCGTATCTGGAGGGAAGTTCCCAAGTTTTTTTCTCCTTCCAGTTAGTTAGCCATCATGCTGTGGACTAGAAGAAGCAAGCGGGCCTTCGCAGTCGAGAGCTTCTTTTTCTAACGGTCGCTCACTTTGTGGCACGCAAACCTGCCTTCCGCGCTCGCTTTGAAATTCCTCCGCACAAGACTCGTTCCTGGCCGTAATTCGCATTCTGTCGTGGGTTAACTCATTTCGGGGAGTTGGAAAGTGTCGCTAAACCCAGAAATGGACTTCAACGGACCAATCAAGAACCCCGGAAAAATAACGAAGAGTAGGCAGTTCAGTTGTGCTTCTCCCCGACGTTCGGCTGCGCAAACAGCAGCTGCTATGGGAATTTCTGACACCACTGATTCGACGAATTTCTGCATTGAAAGACCTTCAATTTCATCCCTACCATACTGGCTGTTGTGCCCAGAATTTAAACTGAACGCGATGTTGTTCCCCGTCAACGTGCTGTTGAAATGCTGATTGACAACCGCACTGAGACCGCGGTCGTTTTTTTCAGTGACGAGGCTCCTCCCACATTTCCGGCTGCGTTCAACAAGCAAACATGCGTTATTGGTGGTGTAAATCCGCGTGAGCTTCACCAGAAGCCACTTAATTGTGAGCAGTACGGTCTTGGTGTGCGATTCCGGGTAATGGGAATATTTGTCCTATTTTTTTGAAAGAAAAACGAACGGCAGAAGTTACGGTGAATGGACTCTACGGAACATGATCGAAGGAAGTTTTTCTTCAAGACTCGAAGAATATGAACGTTAAGAACGTGTGTTGCAGCAAGATGGAGCCACAGCACACACAGCACGAACTACAATGAATTTGTTGCACAACATTTCCCCGACAGCCTCAGCCTCTCAGAGGCGTCTCCAATGGCCAGCCACCCGCTCTCCATTTGACTCCATGGCGATTTCTTTTTATGGGGTATTTAGAAAGTCCCTGGTTTATGTCGATCGACCCCACGGAACCATAGCACACCTCAAGAACAACATTCGCCGACACGCCCATTGCCAACATACCGACTGATATGCTGCAAAGAGTGAATACGGAATTTCAAAAAATCAGACTTCAGCAGTGTATGCGCCAATGCGAGATCCCATTTATTCCGATGTCATTTTCAAGGCTTGCCCATGAAAAAAATTGGGGTATTGTATTGCTCAAAATAAAAAAATTTTAAAACAATAACTGAAGTACTTTTGTTTTTATTGACCTTTCAAATAAGTAAGTTTCTCTGCCGCACCCTGTATGTCCTCGAACTGGATAGGTAATCACAATCTCTTTAATGCTGTTGCTCACTTTTCCTAAATAGTACTTTAATGTGTGATTGTTATTATTCTGTCCACATCATTCATCACAGAAGAGTATCAATCTTGATATTGCGGTACACTCCATGGATTGCAAGAAATATAGCAGTGTAGATGAAAGTTCTCTTTCACCCCCGCCTGAAAGTTCTTTAGTCCAGGTGTAAAAAAAATCATTATTTGTTTGAATTCACGCCAATGCAGATTATAAATGATTTGCCTTTTGTACATCATGTGACAAAACAGGAGTCCTATTGGTTGAACGAACATGTTGTCTGAATGAAATTGGCCTGTGGACATGTTCTTGTTTGCTTTGAAACCAGTAATGAATTTTCGGGTGATTTTATTTGCCAGAAACTGACCTAACAACACTGTTGTAACCATCCTCTATATTATGAAACAGACACTAACTCAATTTTTTTAAAGAGGCCATGTGTGGATTTCATTGGCGACTCGTTAGTTGCTGCCATCTCATTTAGTCTCAGTTTTAATGATATATAAAAAATCCAATGTCGGTTTGTGGTACTTAGCTTCAATTTGAATGTGTTGTGTTTATTATCATACAAAAATTTAGTCTCGGACTTCAAACCAGGTTATTCCACGTGTTGCGCTGGTGGCGAGGTCCAAAAGGTGCAATGTCCCTGCACACAAGCAGGTCAGCACCATTGACTCGGGGTGACCACAGAATCCGATGCCTCGAAGACGTTCAATGTGGACGCCTTCAGCAGAAAGAATCTTGCACCCAATGCTTGGACTCTAGGATGCGATAACACTTAGTCAAATTGGGACTTAAATGTGAAGTCAAAACGACAGAGTAAGAGTTTTTTCTGACGAAGATTGGTCGCTTTTCGTTGCAGCTTACGATGTATTTTTACTAGGTAAGTACGTAGTAAGCGAGAAAGAAAATAATAAAAAATTCAAAATCTACTCTCCTAATCATCTTCACAACCGAAAACTCTGAGTTCATTTCTTGTAATAAGATAAAACGTGTCACCACATTTGGTATTGTGAAATAAAAATCTTCTCCATCTTATCTCAATTCATATCCTCGTTTTCTCATACATTGTCATAGTTATATTCAAAGTAAATATTCAATTTACTCGTAATTTTGATTTTGTAATGTGTCCGCAACAACCCATGATCTTGAATATTTTGGTGTCCTTAGAAAAAAGAAATGAAAACAATGACAAATATTTCTTACTGAAGTAAGGTTATCGGGACATGGTCAGTTGGAAGACCAGGGCAGGACCCTATAACTCCCGTATAACGTAGTGAGGACCATTACAGTGGCGCGCTCTAGAGAATCACCTTCTTATACAAACTAAAATGCGAACTGCTACCAACGTTATTTAAAACGCGCGTAGGTTCTCGGGACGCAAACACACGCGCTTGATACAAGAGATCGCACCGCTGTTCGCGCTACCTTTTCTTTCATGCGTGTATTATTATGAATAAATTAATTTTAGAAGATAAACACATAGTACTTAACTTCTTTTGTAATTTATTTCAGAAATCGCTTATAATCAAAGTGTATTCGTATTTCTTGATCACTTTTTATGTGCCAAAGTTGGCGAGCCTTACCAGCAGCTGAATCCGGCGACACTAACGCATCCTATAGTAGCAACCTCTAGCTATGTTCCCAATTTTGATGGAGAGCTGAAGGGCCCTGTGGAAGACATAGACTAAAACATGGTGGTTTGCCAATGTTTCGGAA